AATTCATAGATGAACGGACAATTTTTCAGAAGAAGTGATAACGTTTCGATAGCGTTACAGCAGCTTTTATCAAGATAATATTGCAAGAAGTTGAGCGGGATGGAACAATTATGCACCTAAATGCATTCGTCTGTGTTTTAATCCAATTTTGAATCTATGCAAGTTCATATCCCATTTAAAATCAGCACTGATGAATGAAATCACAGCTACGATTAATACAAATAATAATAATAGCAGATGCAAAGAATAGGCACAATAGGAACGATTGCATGAACTAAATGAATACGAAAGCTAGCATATAAATATGGTTATAAGCCTTATAGTTTGATTCATAACACTGAGTTGATTGAGACAGCTTTTATTCAGAAGTCCATTTCGGAGAATTAGAGGGATTTGAACGAAAGAAATGTTTATGTGTATAGATGACAACTCTAGAATGCTGCTGCTGCTGCTGCTGCTGCTGCTGCTGCTTTATCGAAATGCAACGAATGCGTTAATTCGATAAGATCAAATCACATTGATTGTTGTTTGTGTTGAGTGAGCAGCACTTAGAGACATGATGAAAACGCAGCAAGTAAAGCTGCGCTGCCTGCTGCAGTAAGTAAGATGTGCAATGAGAATCAATCAAGCAAATTAGTGAATATACCAATAAATGCTTTTAAAAGATATACACATCGCGGATAAGTGAGAATAATGCAGCATCGTTACGCAAAATGATGAGTTGAGCAAACTGAACAATTTTGCTGTTGCATATTCAAACCAATCAATTAATCACTATTACTCTCTATATGCATTAACTATCTAATTACCGTATGCATCAACTTACTGTATACATTAACTATCTAATTATATTTTATATGACTAAAACACATTTAAAAATGACGGATATGTGAAGCCGCTAGATACATTGATTGCGTTCACGTTTGCTAGTTATTGAAACGCACTCACAAATGCATGAAACTGTCCCAACCCTATCAATCTCAACAAAAAAAAAAAACACTTCAAAAATTACTAACGTTATAATTGATATGACTAAAAATTTTTCTTGATTGGCGTCGATTTTTTTTTTGTCAAATTCCACTGACACTTTCAGTGCCAAAAATATTTTGCAATAGACAGCAACTGTGACAGCAGGCACCTATCTTTACTGGGTATGGTGTTGTTTTTTTATTATTATAACTGATCAAATCTGTTCACTGATTCATTTATAACACTTTAACGATGAACTTTCAAGCGCTCTATGCAAATATCGACTCATCATCTATTCAAACAAATTATCAGTTGCAACTGTGAAATTGTAAACATCAAACATCGCCAGCAAAATGACACTGATCTTGAGAAACTGGCAAGTAAATTTGAAATTTCTGGCAGAATAATCATCCCAGTTTTGTATGATGTGAAGAGTGATGTTCAGAAATGAGTTTGCATCCGACTGATCTACTGAACACCACAAGCGAGTTGAACACAAATTCATTTTCGCATTAACCGTACTACGATAACAACGATCACAATCAGGCGTATTCATCAACACTAAAGCGTTGGCACATCCATAGAACTGTGATAACTAACTGAAGACGGATGATACGCATCCACAAATAAATCAACAATAAAACAAAACACGAACTGAACAGCTGATTAAGAATGAACCAACCGAGTTCTGTGGCAGCCTTAATATCGATATTGTCAATACCAGTGCCAATCCTCACAACCACTCGCAGTGCTTTAAACTTTTCCAAATCTTCGCGCTCCAACGTTATTGAGTGCCACATTAACGCCGCAACTGCTTCATTCAAAACCTTACAATAGTATTATTCAACATCAAATCCAAATCGCTTTCCAACCAACCATTAACGTTCATATTTTTTGATTGCTTCCTAACGGAAAAACAAAAAAATTCAATTTCTGTGAGCAAGCTAAAAATCCAGAAATTTTCATCTGATAAATTATCACTTTTAATCCGACGCTATGAATGCGTTTTGAGAACGAACGATTGAAATGAGAATTTTCAAATATCATAAACAAGAATGACTTTAAAAAATCACTAAGAAGGAAATTATTTTTCTAGACATGCATCGATCAATTACAGCATATTCG